CCCTCGACCTTGGACTTCAGCTCTGTCTTTTGCTCGCGGCCCACTGGAGCTAGAAGCATCTCTTCACTCAGGCAGCTACTGGCTGCTGAGGCTAACAAGCCCAAAGTTGACAAGTAAAAAGGCAGAGTCCTGATGTTACCAAACCACATGGCAGACCATTAATTCAAGTCCATTGGAAGTCCCCAGGTAGGCAGAGCAGGCAGGCTGCTGAAGAATGACACAGCTACACGCAGGGTCCAAGCATGCCATAAGCTAGAGACTATCCCCGAGGCTTCTCCTTACATACAGGAAGCAGACCACATTCCTAAAGGAAGTTACTCAGCTGCTTCTGGTAGATGCCACCACAGAGATGATTGCCAGTCTCATCATGGAGAATAATTACCACCAGCTTCCCAGCCACTCAATCAGGCCAAGATGACACACAAATTTAACTACCACAGGCATATAACATAATCTGCAAAACTTGTTCACTAAACTGTAAACCTAGAAAATGAAAATAAGATCATACATTTGTATAAGGCTTTGTGTTATTGCAACTGTGTTTTATTAGTACTACTCAAAAATATTCACTTCTCTGTTCCACACACCCAGAAGTTACATTTGTCTTAGAGTGACTAATATAATATCAATAGACAAAAGCTGTAAGAAACAGTACATTGTTCAACATATCTTCTAGTCCTTGCCATTACTATCATAGAAGCACATTCCAAAATGAAGCCTTCATCAGCCTAGATGTGACTGCTATGAGCAGAGGCTTGTGATTGACACACATGGGACATGTAATGTGGGGGGAATTAAATGTTATATTTTAAAACACTTATATTTTGGAATTATGATCTCAGCAACTAATTGCAGAGTTAACAACAGATGAACGAAGGGGTAGAACAGAGTGGAAGATACCATCTCAGGACAAAATGAGTAAGAGAATATAGAGGCTTTCACACACGCTAAGCCAATTTTTATTTTATAGTTTCCTATCCTCTTTTCAGGAGCTCTGGTAGTTTAGTGCCTAATGCACTTAACTGCTAATCAGAAGACTGGCAGTTCAAACCCACCAGCCACTACTCGGAAAGAAGGTTGGGCAATCTACTTCCGTAGTGATACCACCTCGGAAACCCAAGGAGAGGTCCAACTCAACAGCACATAACAACAATACCTTATTAGAAGCTCTGGTAGCATAATGCCTAAGGCACTTGACTGCTAACCAGAAGGCTGGTGGTTCAAACCCACCAGCCACTCCTTGGAAGGACAGTTGGGAAATCTACTTCCATAGTGATACTGCCTCAGCAACCCAAGGAGGGGTCGCTGAGTCGGGTCCGACTTGACGGCACACAACAATAACATCCTCTATTCAATACCATATACTTTAGTGAAAATTCTCACAGTTGCAGAAAATGTAAACAAGAACACTGTGTGTGTGTGTGTGTGTGTGTGTGTATAGTATATATAAATATAGAATTTCAAATAAAAAGAAGTTTGTTGGGGAGAGATCAGACAGTCCATTCATGAGAACTTTCCTCCTCCCATCACCATTCTTATTTATTCTTTCTACTTCAAATTTGTTTCCTTTCTTACCAAATGTATTTTGCACGTAAATGATTGACTGGATGTGTATTTGTGTTACATCAAAGATACACTTCCCAGGTTGATTACTTAAACAGAAAATAAGATAATCAGCCCACACTTGTGAGTGAGGAATTTTTATTCTTCATGTGGTAACAGTATAAGTTACTGTTGCCAAATTCCAAATTACTATTTGTATGCCTAAAATGGAACATGTGCACTGGAAAATGGCAATTATTTAGAGTAGAATCCAGGTCAGAGCAAGGCACAAGGGTCCATTTGACCAGCCTTTTCACCAAGAACACTGGAATTTCCATGCTTCTTTCTTCTGGCTTTGTCCTCCTCATTAGTTTTGACAAATCATACAAGAATATTATAATTGCTTCAATCTCAATGGAGTTGGAAGTGAAGTACTTGGAAGTGAACTACATGAAAGTTACATTTTAACAAGGGCTGTTTGTCTAATTGTAATCATTTTTAATGTGGGAGGGGGTTAGAACCTAGATAAAACATTTCTATTTCAATTTCAGAGCTCTTCTTTTAGAAATGTCTTTGTCAGGAGCTTTGGTGGCATAGTGCTTAGGGCATTTGACTGCTAACCAGAAAGCTACCAGTTCAAACCCACCAGCCACTCCTTGGAAGGAAGGGTGGGCAATCTACTTCTGAAATGATACTGCTTCAAAAAGCCAAGGAGAGGTCACTATAAGTCAGATCCAACTCCGGGGCAGTGAGTTTCGTTTTGGTTTGTCTTAAGCATCATTTTATAATGTATACAAGAAAATGTGTTACCATTATAAGCATATCTAAAAAAAGTATTTTAAGTTGTCATAAACTTTGCTGTCATATTTCGGTCAACTATATTTACTTTTTAATGTTTCTAAGTTAAATCTAATCTTGTGCTATGAAGATTATGCACCAACTTTCTTTTAAAGCATATATTGCAAATTGTGAAAGCAATTTCCACAAGTTGCTCCCTAAATGGTTTAAATAATGGCACAATCATTTGATTAGCTCAGCATCTCACTCAAGGTGGCTACTGTGAGGTGAGTGCATTCATTAGGATGTACAAGCTCTGGATGACATACTGTATTCATCTTTATGTCCCCTACAATCCCTAAGACAGTATTTTTTGCTCTTGGGTGTTGTTTATATACATTTCCTGGACTGTAAGCAGGTAGTAAACCTGCCAATGTGAGGGCATGAACTTAAGTTATAAAAAAATAATAAATTCAAAAAATAAAAATAAACCCTCCAAACCAGCCCTTTTCCATTATCCCTAATGCTTCTTCATATCAGTTCCCAGATGTTTCCTATCACTTAAAAAATTAGCTATGTAAATTCTACTGTCTCGGTATTCATTCTCAATGACTCTGCTAAAAGATCAGAACCATTAAACCACAGTGTGCTTGCTTTACAGATGTAACTAGTATGATTATTTTTATTTTTTTAAACTGTACCATTTTAGTCTGACTAGGGGAATTATTATCACAATAACTAAGTCTGGTAAATCAATTTACAAAAGTATGGTAGGAGACAAGCTAAACTAAACCATCCTAAATTGGTCTCTGGACTGATTAGCTTTCCTCTCATTTCTTGAAAAGGAGAAAGTCTCTTCAAGACTGCATTAAACAAGATCAGATGTTGTGCCTTAGGTTCACTCACAGATGTTGGTCCAAGGGGGGGAAGGAGTGACAAAAGCTAGGGCTTTAGTGCCTTTCTGAAAGAATTCTGTTAGGTATAAAAACACAGTATGTGCTATGAAATAATCCAGAAAATTTTAACTGCACAACCACACAAGCAGGTTAATCACACACTAACTTACAGGAACTCTCTAGGCATGCAAATTATAAAACCTGCAGTGGCGCTGACTGAATCCCCAGCAGTACCAGAGAAAGCGAGTGCTGGGAGGAGCCAAAGCAAGTACCCGATGTCTCAAAATGTGTGTAGGGGAGATGGACTGAGGAAAGGAGTTTAAAGTAACTCAGAGCTTCAGTCCCACACCGGATACCTAAACGGTCAGCTCAAAACTCAGGAAGTTACAAAACCTAGTTACCGCAGTCACATCGACGCCCCGCCCACCAATGCTCTTCCCCCAACAGGGTGGGGCGGGGCCGTCACGCTGGGAGGGAGCAGAGGGGCGGGGTTGGTGCGCCCGAAGGCGGAGGGGCGGCCCAGGCCCGGAGCCCGCGCAGGCAAAGTTGGGTGTGGCCGGGTAGTACCTGTTGTGGAAGTCCACAGCGAAGGGCTTCAGGTACGGGTCAATCTCAAGGAGCCGAGCCAGCTCGGGCATGTCCACCAGGACAGCAGCAAGCGCTGCTTCGGAGCTGTTGGTCTGAGCCGTGGAAGCCGCCATCTTCCGAGTAGCCGAGGCCCGAGTAGCCGAGGCCCGAGAGGGTCGAGTAGGGCCTGAGCGGGAGCCGGGGCCTGAGCGGGAGCCGGAGCCCGAATGGGAGGAAGCAACGAGGGCGGAGCCGGAGGGCGCTAGCGAGCCGGAGCGAGCCCCTGCCGGCCCGGGGCCCTTTATACCCTGGGCGAGCGGCCGCCCGGCCCCCTGCTCCCCCCGCTAGCGGGGAGGAGCGAGACCCGAAGTGATCCCGGGACGCACGTCCAGAGCCCAGAGGAGGCTCTGGGCCCTCCGCCAGTCACGAGGCTCGCACCTGGAGGCTGCTTGGGCCTGCACTTCCATCCCCAGCCTTTTCCCCACGGGGCTGAGGTCACCCTGGGAGGCAACCTCTTTCAGCCTTGCCCTTCCTTACCCTGACCCATTCTTGGTTCTGGAAGTATCCTCAGCTTTTCCTTTCAGCAGCTTCCATTGGCAGCATCCTCTTCAAGTGGATGTGTGGTTCTCTTGGAAGGGGCCTTTAGAGTTCTGAGAATTTCTTCTTTTGGAGAAACTTTTCAATACCAAGTAAAATCACAGTGAGAGGAACAGGCCAATGTGGATATAATCATACCGTTGAGAATGTTAATGTTACTTACTATCGGTATTCGCTTAGGTTTGCCGTATTTGGTGAACTTAATCAAGGGAGATAGGATTTTTTCCAAGGGAAACATTGGTATTCTGGTAATTTTACCTGGAATATTAAGGGTTGAAAAGTGAAACCGTGGCAAGAAGTTTTCACATTTTCCATACCGGGGAGGGGAGGGAAGGAAGAAGCATTCTCTGTTTTTAATCTTTGTAGTAAGTTTAAAAAAGGAGCCCTGGTGGCACAGTAGTTAAGCACTTGGCTGGTAACCCAAAGGTCAGCAGTTTGAACTCACAAGCTGCTCCACTGGAGAAAGATATGGCATTATGCTTTCCTGAAGATTTACAGCTTTGGAAACCCTATTGGGCAGCTGCTGTGAATTACAGAGTCGCTGGAGTCAGAATCAACTTAATGGCAATGGGTTTGGTGGTGGTTTTTTTTTTGGTTTTTTTTTTTTTTTTTTTTTGGTTTTTGTAATACGTTTTTCAATGATTAAGCTATCCTTAATGAACCCAAGAAGGGGTCGCTATGAGTCGGGTCGGACTCCAGGGCACATAACAACAGTGAGGTACATGGTATAAGGGAAAGCATTAAATTGGAATTCCACTTTCACACTTATTAACAGGTGACAGTGCAAGACACCTCTGGGTATCAGGTTCTTCTTGACTTTGGAATGGGGCAAGCTATGTAATCTTCCTTCACATGGAACTTTCTTCATTCATTCCCACTAACTGACTTCCAGATCAGTGCTTCTTTTTTAAGAATACAGAGTTAGACACCAAGAAAAAGTGCAGGGCACCCACCAACTCAGGAGGTTCCAAGCATAATTGAGTCTGGAAAATAAAAAAGATAAAAAAAAAAAAAAACTCCCTGTGGTCCAGTAGGATCTGACTCAAAGCTACCCCTCTTGAGTTTCCCAGGTGTATCACTGCAGAAGTAGATTGCTCAACCTTCCGTCCAAGAAGTGGCTGGTAGATTTGAACCAGCAACCTTCTGGTTAGCAGTCAGATGCCTTAGGCACTATGCCACCAGAGCTCCCATTTCCTCTAGAAACTGTTGTTGTTATTGTTAGGTACCATTGAGTCAGACCTGACTCATAGCGACCCCTCCTTGGGTCGCGGAGGCAGTATCGCTGGGAAGTAGATTGCCCAGCCTTCCTTCCGAGGAGTGGCTGGTGGGTTTGAACCGCCAGCCTTCTGGTTAGCAGTCAAGTGCCTTAGGCACCATGCTACCAGAGCTCCTTCTCTAGAAACTAGAGAAGTACACATATATTTCCCAGTTAAGACTTGGGAATGAAGAATCCTAGGAGCTAGAGAGGAAGAATGTTGATCAGTTTTGAGCCTTGAATTTTAAAGTCTATTCCAAGTAGAAATTTTTTAAATGGGTTAATAAAAATATGATGGTAGATACCAGTGAGAGGATTTTAGGATGAAAGCGCATAGGACTTAGATAGCTTTAGAAAAGTTATGTCATATTCCCCATACAGATGGCAAAATGCAACTGTTTGTAAACTATAAAGCACTAAAAACACTTGAAATTGAGAAGGTAGACTCCACAGATCTCTATCTGCAATCCTAAGAGTTTTTCAGAAATGCAGGTTTATATAAGTCCCTGCTTACTAAGACTTTAACTGTCTTAAGAAACCTAAACCAACTTTACCTCCAAAACAAATCCAATCCCTTTTATACAGGCCACAGTCATCTCACTTGGAAGTTACCTAGGTTCCCCTCTTCTACTTTTCAGTTATTTCAGTCACCTCATATGTGTACAAAATTTGAGTAACGAATAAGGAATACTGAAGAATAACTGATGCATTTGAATTACCGTGTTGATGAAGAATATCGAATGTACCATGGACTGCCAGAAGAACAAACAAATCTGTTTTGAAAGAAGTACAGCCAGAATGCTGTTTGGAAGCAGGGTTGGCAAGACTTTGTCTCAGGTACTTTGGACATGTTATTTGGAGGAACCAGTCCCTGGAGAAGGATATCATGCTTTGTAAAGTAGAGGGTTAGTGAAAAAGAGAAAGACCCTCAAGGAAATAGATTGACATGGTGGCTGCAACAGTGGGTTCAAACAGAGCAAAGATTGTGAGGATGAAACAGGACGGGTCAGTGTTTCATTCTGTTGTAATAGGGTTTCTATGAGTTGGAACCAACTCAACAGCACCACACTACAAAAACAAATCTTCCTCACCCCTGATCCGTGCTCTATGCCAGTGTTTCTCAAACTTCCATGTGTACCAGTCACCTGGGAATCTTTTTTAAAATAGATTATTATTCAATACTAAAATAGTACCTGAGATTCTTCAGTTTTGACAGTAGGAAGTGGTGCTGACTGATGCTGCATGTTAGGGGCACAGTTTGATTAACAAGACTCTACACAATTACTAAGTAATATTATTTAGCTACTTAAATGGCATGCCATTTCATTTGGAGTAAATTCCAAACTCCTTACCACTCTGTAACAAGACTTGCATAATCTAGTCCCTGACTACTTTTCCACACACTTCTCTCATTATTCACTGCTTTTGCTATGCTGTAGTCACACTGATTCTTGGGACTCCCTGAGTTCTTTGTAGCCTCTGACTCCTTTTAATTACTGTTTTCTCCCTTGGGACTTATCTTCCCTATCCTCTGCATGACTGGTTCCTTCCCACCTTTCATTCATGTCTCATCATAAATGTCACCTGAACTCTGGAAAGCCTCTAATTCTACTATCTGTACAGATTCCTCAGTGTCTTCTGTTAGGGCTCATTTTGTCCTATGCCACAGTGTACAATACTCACATTAGTGCTTTTTCTATCTTTACTGATCTCCCCGTTAGAATATAAGCTCTAAGAGAGTAAGGACCTATTCTATCTTATTCACCACAGAGCAAATATTTATATTAAAGTCCTCTGTGCCCAGTATTCTCTAGACACTGGGGATAAATGATGAACAAAACAAGTCTCAACTTACAAAGCTCACATTCTAGTAGAGGAAGAAAATTACCCAATTAAATGTGAACATAAAAAGGTACTGATTAGTGTACTATAGAGAATTAAAATTCATCAAATATATCTGCTTTAGTGTTCATGTTCAAAAAAGGCTGAAATGTAATGACAAGATGGAATGAGCCATGAGAGGAAGTACATTCCTAACAAAGTTTGTGCAATGGGGGAACAAGTTTGGTTTAGTCCAAGAAGAGAAAGACCAGTGTTCATGGTGTATAGTGTCAGGGGAAGAGTACCAGGAAGGGAAATGTGACAACTAAGCATGAGTTTGATCATATGGGGCCTTTGTGTGTAATGAAATTCTATTGGAGGATTTTGAGCAAAAAACTGATATGATCTGATTTTCATTTTTAAAATATTCTTTGGTAAATTGCTGTTGTTGTTAGGTGCTGTTGAGTCATCTGACTCATAGTGACCCTATGCACAGAGAACAAAAACACTGCCCGGTCCCGTACCAGCTCTGCAATCCCTTCTATACTTGAGCCCATAGCCGCAGCCACTGTTTCAATCCATCTCTTTGAGGGTCTTCCCCTCTTTCATCGACTTTACCAAGTATGACATCCTTCTCTAGGAAATAGTCACTTCTGATAACATGACCAAAGTAGGCGAGACACAGTCTAGCCATTCTTGCCTCCAAGGAGCATTCCAGCTGCACTTCCTCCACGACAGAATTTTTAGTTCTGTTAGCAGTCCATGGTACTTTCAGCATTCTTCACCAGCACCACAACTCAAAAGAATCAATTCTCCGGTCTTCCTTATTCATTGTCCAGCTCTCACATGCATATGAGGCAATTGAAAATAGTATGACTTGTGTCAGGTGCACCCTAGTCCTCAAGGAGACTTGGTAAATGTCAGGGTACAAGAATGGAAGCAGGAAGATGAGATTATTATAGTACCTAAATAAAAAGTGCAAATTTGTTGTAGAGAAGAAGAGGAAAAGAAAAGCAGCAAATTTGGAATGTATGATATAATGAATGCCTAAGCTATTATGAAGTAATTTATGTTTGGAAAAACAGAAGAAATATTTGACAAACAGTTGATAACCTTGGCAATTGCTTGGATTTGGGAATTGAGGAGTTAAAGAAGACTGAGATTGGAACTTGGATGAATTTTCATTAGCAAAAATAAAGAGGACCTTGGAAAAGAGAGAATTAAGTATAAGTAATCAGCTCCTGCATATCTAAGAGAAGATGTTTAGTTGTAAATTTTAAAAAATGGTTATTGGATAATCAAGAATGGAGATAGCATAGTGGCAAATAGTGATTATAAATACTTTGAAGCTGTGCTTCATTTTGATGTTGAAATTTTGCTGTTGTTGTTGCTGCTGTTGTTAGGTGCCATCAAGTTGATTCTGGCTCAGCAACTCTGTCCAACAGAACAAAACACTGCCAGGTCTTAGGACATCACAATCTTTGCCATGTTTCAGCCCACTGTTGCAGCCAATGTGTCAGACTATATCACTGAGA